ATGATTCTGTGATCATCAAGGGAAAGTGGTGGCTCAGGAATGCTGTGGGTTTGGTATGTGGGTGCTTCAGATATGCTTGTTTTTTGAATAAAAAACAGAGTAGTCAAACTCATGAGCAGCAATAATATGCAAGTTAACACCTTGAAAGGACAATGAAGCTAATGAAGAGGAGAAATAGCAGTTTCAAAAGCAGAACATGGCTACAGTGAGGAAGAAATATGAAGCAACGGCTGGGGAATTTTTGGTTTGATACAGAACGTCTCTCTGAACAAAATGTGATCAAGGCTTGTTCTAACCAGGCTCAAGCACCAAAGTAGAGTTCCTTCCCACCCCCATTTTTTTCTCCCCTGCTTTCACACTACACACCAGAAGACTTATTTTTTAATTCCCATCATAGTGTATGTCTACTTCAGGTGCAAGTCCAAACACATGAGGCAATTGCCTCCCTGACATCAAAAGTCTCCACAAGCTGCAAAGGTATGTATAAAAACAGGCTTTCCTTTATGCTGCATACTAACTCTGCTCTTGAATCAGCAGAGTAATCCACCACTGAGTTATCTGCAGTATGTGCTTAGGAAGTACTGAATGTAAAATTCAGTAAGTACACAGAGCGAGGACAAAAGTATGCCCTCCCCTTATATACCTTTGAGTTACCTTTCTTTCCAAAGCTTATCACTGTAACAGCTTTTCTTGCACTGTGTGGCAGAAATATCTGTGGGGTAATATTTTTAGTGATAGATAAATACATATTAGCGATAGCTAAAATACACATTGCTGTAATTAAAAATTTAGCTTACATGTATTTTTATAAACCCAAGTTTGTTGGTAATTAAAGATGATTCATCTACAATGTGTTGCAAAGTAATTAATAGCTGTATTGTTTTAACATAACTATGGCCTAATTCCACAGATGTTTGCCACTTCTGTTTTCCTTTACTGTCATCCTTACTGGTGTCAGCTGAGCTAAATCTACTGAATTTTAATGGAACAGGTTCCTTGCTTTCTGCTCTGGAGCAATTCTGTATGTCTGTGTAATGGGAGAGCAGCTGCTAATTTCACAACTGAAGTCCAAACACCACTAGTTGGCAGCAGTGATTTGCATAGTTGAAATGAAGAGGAGACATGATTCTTTTCTTCAAGTACATCCCAGAGATTAAACTAGAGCAAAGACAATTGAATTTATAGGATATAGAAAATTATGTGGAAAAAAAAATAGAAGAGAAATAACAAGTAGGTTTCTAATCATCAGAGGAATGAAGCTCTGTAACAGCTCTCTAGTGAGAAGAGCAATAATTGAAGTGGCTTCAAAACAGGACTTGGTAAATTTATGAAGGGGACTACGCAATGTGTTTGCCTGACAGCTCTGAACTCAGTGAACCAGAATGTCTTTCACAGCCTGGCTCTATAGGTTTAATTGATAAACATTTTATAGTCACTTTGCATTCATTTTGCACAATTTAAATCCAGAGGTTTAGGTAGGTATAAGGCCAGTTTCAGGAGGTAAGGGACCAGCTGTGTCATTAAAACAGGATGGTATAGATATGCTCAGGTTACACTAGAAATTCTTTGTTTTCAGTATTTATCCTGTGATTTTATGATAAGGTACAACAACAATAGAAAAATGGGAGATGACAGCAGTGACAAATATGTCTGTCCCAAACTTCTCCATTCACTGGTATGTGGCAACATGAACTCAGTGACTGAACGTGCCTTGGCTTTCTAGATAAGAGCGTGCTGTGCTGCAATAGCTGCCTGTGGGCTCTCTAAGAGAGAGCAAACATTTAAGGAAGGGCTCATACCAAGTATCAGTGCCCACTTGGGCACAGTGCAGAGCCTTTATACGATACCTAAGTTGAGCTAGATCGCGCAGCGCTTTCTTAATTTTCTCAGAGTCATACAACTTTGTACTATGCAAGAATAACAGAAGAGCCATTATTAAAAACCACAGGATATGAGAAACTTCAAAATGAGGAAAATATGTTCATAATGGATTTATTGTGCAGTATTTTGGTTACATAAACATGGTACAACACACTTCAAATTACTATAAATTATACGTGGGAGCAAGGTTTTGGGATCCTGCCTTCCAGAAGTCCTAAGTCTCAGGGTGAAACCTCTGATGCCTTGAGGACAGTGATAAAAATCACTGATTTCAATAAGGTCTGCATTTCTCTTTAGATCTCTTCAACCCACTCTCACCAGCTGCCACTCTGTCACAACCCATAGAGAAAAAATGTAAAGAGCTATTTCATTATAACCTATCTGTGCCTTCAGTAAGAAAAAAAATGTTACTGAAGTAGACTGTCATAGTTTCTTTTTTAACTTTACAGAAATGAGGACAAGTTGAAAAGCAGACAAAATACGTCTCTCCAAAGAGAAAACTAAGAACACCACAAATATTTTTTTCAATTTCAATTTTTTTCAATAAGCAAAAAAAATTTATCTTGTTGAAAATATTTGTTGGTAGTAGATGGGACCCTTTTTCACACTGAAACTGGAAAACATTCATTTTTGTAGACAGCTTAGCTAGTACTTCAAAAGATTTTCACTGATGACAGGAAATAAGCTTGTTGTTAGAAAGATGTACTCCTGTTGTGCAAGTCTGAATCTTTTGCAATCTTTTCTTTGATTCAGAAATTTTGACATGAAAATAATTGGAAAATAGTGGGATCTGGATGGTTCAGATGATATACTATGTTATGCTAACATTCTCAAAATTACACTGAAAATCCCAACAAGAAAAATTACGTAAAAAAGAATAGATAGCTTCTAATATCCTATTTCATTTTTAATTCGAAAATTATCATTGTTGATGGAACATCAGTGCACAACATCTTGCTGGATTTATTAAAATCCAGTTAGCTCACAAGTCTCTTGGCATATTTACAAGTCCATGCAAAAATATTTAAATACAGGAATTATAGATGTGAACTAACTATTAACTTATAAGTCCACAAATAAAGATGTTTTCTACTGTGATAATAGTGTAACTTAAAAGCTGTTTTTTTGTATTTATGATTATAACACACATTTTCTTGATATTTATTTAGTTATTTATTTTGGTGTTTCAATAACCTAGAATATATTAAAAAATCACAACAATTAATTGCTTAGTGCATATGATCCCAGAAGTAGTTTCATTTCCTCCACAGCATAGTTATTCCTCTCCCTTCTCTATCTGCAAGGCCAAAATCTGATTAAAAGTCCTGTTTTCCTTGTGTGAGGGAATTCTAGTGGAGAGATGATGGTATGGCTCCAAATTTGCATCTAGGAGGTGTATTACTGAAAAAGACAGATTCTTTATCTAATATTTTGATGACATGGAGAATTCTTCTGTTAAAATGGCACCTGTATTTCTTATCTTGGGAAAAGTAATCTGCCTTTATCTTAGTCAGTCTTTTATGGACGCTGTTGCAAAAAGTGACTGTGTTTTCTCATAGCTTTGTGGCTTTGAACAAGCCTCTTAAATTCTTGATGACTGTTTCCTTGTGTGTTCTTACTGATTTTCAGGATTGCTCAATAATGTCTGCTAAATTCAATAACAGCAATAAATAGCTGTTCCCTTTCATTAGCATGTTTGACAAATGTAGCTTGCACATTTTTGCTCAAAGAGCTAGAGATGAAAAAAGTTTTGGTTTTCACTGATGGCAGTAGGAAATAAAGGGGTGCATATGCAGGACTCTCATTTGGATGTGCAAAACTGGAGGCTATTTGTAGTAGTCCCACACAGGGACACATCTGTGCCAACTTTGGATCATAGGTTTGCTCCCACTTGGCTTTGTTCTGAAGTAGATAGAAAGGAAGATCCATCCACAGGAAGTGGGACAGAAGACTAAAAATCATTCAATGAATTGCAAATACCTGAAATGAAATATATTTGTCTTCTGCATAGGTTCCACTTTTCTGAGGGCATGCATAACAACTTTATGGCCCACTTATACCTTCGTCCCAGGCTCTTCTGGCGGTTAAAATATTTTTTTCTGTCATATAAGTAAATGGAACAGAAGCAGAGAAGCTCTTGCTTAAATTGCTTTGGGTGCAACTGTTTTACACATTTGCAGTTTCTCTGTAAGCATGATCCATTGGCTAGTCTTTTGGCAGTCGTCTAAAGAGTCCTGCCTGGAATAGTTTCTGGTGGAGAAAATTTGTGACTGGCACACAAAGGCACAAAGGAAGGAATATGAAAGGTACATATGTTCAAGTATCAATTTTTTTGGTTTAATGGAAATAACTGTGACAAAAGGATGACAACAAAAAGCACCAGACTGCATGCATATCCATAGTTTAAACTATGTTTCCCCAGTGTTTTAATGAGTGATATGCAAATCCTCTGTCTTTGTTTTTAACTAAGTAATTGTGTAGTTACTGTGTCAGGCCTCATTCATAAGATCACCCAGTAAGCTCTTGCAAACTAAACTGGAGAAGTGGTGATTAGCTTCTGCTCTATCACCTTTTCCTTGATGAAAACAGGTTGTGTTGATGAAAAGTCAGACTGAAGAGGCTGTAGATTGAACTCAAGTAATTAGACACTGGATGGGTGTGAATATTTGCTGCTGTGCTCATCTGTCTTGCATAGGACCGCTTAAACCACAAGCGCGGGTCTTC